CTGTCACAAACTGTACAGTATTCTGTAAATAAATATTGTACATTATATACACAGTGTGACCGTAAAGTACAGTTCATCAAATTTCTAGAGGCTTTCGACGGCTAGACAGAGAAAGCACTACTGACAGGCATCCCGACGGATTTACGCAATGAAAGTACACTCTGCGCATCAAGTATTTCACTATTTCATTCAGACGTAAATGTCAGATGTAAATTTCGCTAAAACATTTCTTTTATTTTCGTTTGTGTTTTTTGCTCATTACAGTTTAATAGAACCTAAGTATGGAGTTTAATAGCAAATTAAAAGGCCGCGTGATTAATAGTCAATCTCGCGAAATAATAGCCAATGTTATAGAGTTTATAAGAAGAGAAGGAAACTTTAATTCACCTTCAATACCATTTAAAAATGTAAATGATCGTGTTGCTGCAGCCACAGGAGTATCTAAAAACACGGTCGTCCGCATTTCTGGAGAGAAAAAAGAATCGATAACCGTGAGATATCGGAATTTTCATCACCAAGAAAAACCATTAAAAAACCAAAACAGTTAATGATATAGATGAAGCTGCACAAGAATCAAATTTTATTTTTTTATTATTAGATAGCTATTTTTGTTTCTGAGTTGTGTTCATTTACAGGCTCAATTTTTTACCGTTTCTCCTTTTTGATTTTATATGGGGTTTCAAGTTGTTTTTGACTTATTTCGACGTAAATCACAACAACACACTTTTTTAATAAAGCAAACAAGTGTTAAGAGGTATATGTACGTGTAAACTACAATTACAAAAAATTGATATGAAACCCATGAAACCACCAACAAAAATGTAAAGCTAGCTTCCGTACTAGAACATGGTGTCATTCGTCGAGATAATTTATCGTTTTGTTTAATAGATCAAGAAATGTAAATATTCCCCTGTTATTTTTTATAAAATTATAAGAGAAATAAATTTTTTTCTAAATAGTATAGTTTATTATTTTGTAGAAAAACAAAATTTCGAAAATTTTAGTAATGTTTCAGAAACAACCGTTATTAATAATAGGTACCATTTTCCTTAATAAGGTAGAAATAAAATATAAACTATTTCCACGATTTACAAAGGCCTACAAAAAAATTATAGGTATTTTCCGCTATCCTATAAAATTTATATTTTCTGACTCAATTTCAAAAGGTAGAAGGAATTCCAAAACACCTTTTATGGCATAATAATTATTTTCAATTCTACATACCATCTTTAGCTGCTTTTAAAAACGTTCTAAGAAAGTCCAATCAGACCAATTTAATCCCTAAACTATTCCACACTTTTAAAATTTAATTACCTAAAAATATTAAAAACTATTTAAAATAACTTGTTTAGCAGACTGTACAATAGCTATCTTAGTCACACGTAGCGCGTTCTCTGCCTGGGCGTCGAACACCTCTAGAAATTTGATGAACTGTAAGTACCATTGCGTTACGTATTTAGGTACTCATTAGCGATGGTATATTAAAGATATTAATTCAGAGCTCGCAGCAACCTATAAAACAAAACTAAATAACCAGAATCAAAACAACAAAACCTAAGATTTATTAACATGCATGTCGTTAGATATAGATATATACAACTATATAAAGCTAGAAGAAAAAATGAAACGTTTAATGATAGGAAGTCGTTAATATACGTATACCTATAAGTGTCCAAATAAGAAAAAGGAGGCTGGCCATATCTAAGGAAGCGTTTATCCTACATACCCTATAAATAGCTAAGTTCGCCACTAGAGGTCAGTTATATTAAAACTGGTGAACTGTGCGAAATTTTACTTAATTTTGACAACTCGATTATACTGTTCATCATTGATCATAAGCATAACGGCATCTAGTGGTGAAGTTAAAAGATTGAAAATAATTTCCGGCTATTTCGCTTGATCACTTTTTTTTCCTAAATTATACAAAATCATTGTAATTAATATCATTTATAGGTTATGTACATCTGACATTTCATTCTTATAGTTTAATGTTGCAATGGCATATCAGCTGGTATAAAAATATGCGAACAAAATTAATAATTCTCGGGGAAAAAATTTTAGATCCATTTTCCATTTATTTACATTTAACTTAAATAAAATAACGTCTTACAATTTTAAATTATATTTAACAGAAAAAAATTGTCTATGTGAATAAATAGTGGTTCCACTAAAGGCGAACCTTGTGCGTGGGATACTTTGAGAAATATACTCTGCTAACCTTTTTTTTACTATTTTTTGTTTTATTTATTATAGAGAAAAATTAGCTACAGCATTGAATATTTTATAAATAATTATTGTATACATAAATAATTGGATAATTACAAGTTCTTTTTAGTTAAATGATTTTAGATTTTAGTTATATTTAAACTAATAAAATCGTGAAATTTTTGTCGTTGCTTAGTTAATATCCACTGTTGCAATTTAGACCTATGAAGACCTATAGAATTTAGGTTTTTAAATTGCGCCAGAAGTGCGTTAAATATTTTAGGACCGAGATATATAAAACTTCTTTGCCCTAGAGTCTTTTCCATTCTAGGTACGACGATCACATAATTTTTATAACGTGTTGGGTATAAATGTTGTACCGGAGTGCTAAGGAAAATATGTTTCTTCTGAAATATTGCAACTCGTAGGTAAAACAGTTGTCTCAAATCCAAAACTTCTGCTTCTAAAAATAAACGTTCCGTTGGGTAAGTATAGTTTTTATTATAAATAATTTTTAAAATCCATTTTTGTATTATTTGTAAATGTTTAATATGGATATCTGCCGCACCTCCCCAAGCAATATTACCATAGGTTAGATGCGTCTGTATTAATGCATAATATAACAACTTTAAGTGGGGAATATCCAAAAAACATTTTAAAAATTTAAATTTTGCTAAATGGAATCTAACTTTCTTTATAACACTACTAATGTGTGTATTCCACTTTAAATTACAATCTATTATAATTCCCAAGTATTTAGTTGTTTTTGACATTTTTATACAAACATATTGTTGTAATTTATATTGATTAAATCATAACTTTGAATCGTAACTAGTAAATGGAAGAAATGTTGTTTTAATAAAATTAATTGTTAATAATTTGTTACGAAAAAATCTAACACAATAGGTAGATATTTAATTATTTTATTCTTTAGGGTATTCCAATTAGTATCTTGGTAGTAAATGGCCGTGTCATCGGCGAAACCTATGATTTCTGCGGGTACAGGTAATTCAAAAAGGGCTTTTATATATACATTAAACATAATAGGACCAAGTACAGTACCTTGGAGAATGTCAAAATGTATTGTTTGCTTATCACTCATAATGTCTCCAATACTGACTTACTGGTCTCGATCAGTTAGGTAGCTCTTGAGTAGTTGATAGGCTACTCCTCTGATGCCTAAGGTATTTAAAGTTTCTAATAAATCTGGATGACTCACCGTGTCAAATGCTTTGTCGAGATCTACAAAGATACAAATCGCAGGCATTTTTGTCTCTATAGATTTGTATATTTTGGATGTTATGTCAGCTATTGCATCTTCGGTAGACCTCCCCTCCACAAACCCATATTATTTAGAAAATAATAATTTGTATTTGTTTATAAAATTACACAATCTGACTTTAATTAGTTTTTCTATTATTTTACTCATACTGGAGAGGATCGATATGGGTCTGTAGTTTGTCATTTCATATTTCATAATATGCCATATTATTGTGACGTTATTTTGGTTTCACTGACAGTTAACGTCTGACCAAACTTTTAACAAAAACATCATTGAATTTGACATAATATACGTTTTTATTGTATTTAGTGTTTTTCTAAATATTGTTTGCAATCATAAAATAGCTATATGCAACGAGTTACAAAATGCCCTATTTCATGTAACAAGTGAATATTTGCGGGACGAGCAGAGCGAGGTCCTGCAACATAAACGAGTTACATAAAACGGCATCTTGTAACGTTTTACATACAATATTTTTTCTAATTTTGTCTAGATTATTTTAAAATTGCGTTTTGATAAAACATTAGTGACATCTACGCAACCAATATTACTTTCTTGTATTGTTAGTTGCATATGCATCATTTTATTGACAAATAGAACATTACCCATATTATTTATTCTCAACGACTTGTAGTGTTTATATTGCTTTTAATGTTATTTAATTTTCAAAAAAGTGGGTTATTTTGTCGTGTATTGTGTTTTGATTATTTTGTGCTGATTTAGAACGGAAAATAAGGACCGTCTGACTATTCTCGTATTTTCTGAGCGACCCATCCTAGTTTAAACTTGATAATTTGGACCGTTTTTGATAAAAACGCAATTGAACATTTCAGAGTCTCGGAAATCGATTTCATATTATTATTTCCGAAATCCTGATTACATTCTATTATTGGGGCATACAAAGTCCTTTTATGCCAGTGAAATTCCTAATACAAGAAGCGGCTGATATTTCTTTTTAATGTCAGAAAGTCTTTTATCAAAACAAATTGGAAGAGGCGTGGAAGTAGGATGATACCACGTAGAATATTTACTTTGAGTTTGTTATTTTTATTAAGTTATTTTGTTTATTATTCGAAGTTACAAGTTTGTCTGCTGTTTCTCGCGAGTTCTTATTTGAAAGCATCAAAGTTTATAATCAAAATAACTAAAAAGTTTCTTCAAAAAAAAAGATATGACCCAATTTCATCATCAGAAATCGCTCATGTGGCACGCCATGTATCAAAATGTAAAATAATAAATTAAATAATATCGCTTGCCTAAAGTTATGCCTTTGTGTAAATTTAGATGATTTATGAATCAAATTATTACCAAAAAGCGAAAACATTTTTTTCAATTTTAATACTCTGTATCTTTTTTCTCAGCAACATTTTATTTGATCCAATCTCCATATTTTGGTCCAAACAAGCTGCGCTTACTCTATGTCTCAATAGTTATGACTCTGTATAAAGAAATTTATTAAAAATATCTGACCGTCGATTTCCGATATTTTGTTATTTATTTTAAAAACACATACCTTCTTTTCAAGTTCAGCGCTTCTTCTATATCCAGTAGTGTATCCAGGTCTATTCGCCATGTAACTATTAGAAGCGTACAATCCAGTATAAGGTTTCGGTAGTCCGAAAAGCCTAGGACTCTGCTGCGGCCCCGGACTGGGATTCTCTCCATTGTTCTCTAACGGAACCTCCCTTTCCACCACGAGTCTTACAAAACGTTCCAAGCCAGTGAGCATGCCCACAGCTTGATCGTGGCTGGCACCAGACAGATCCACGCCATTTATAGAAATTACTCTGTCGCCAACAAGAAGTTTACCATCTTTATCGGCGACACCTCCGTCAGTAATACGAGACACAAAAATGGCATCGGAGTCTGATTTAAAAGGCTGCGATCCTTTTCCTCCAGCAATACTAAATCCTAACCCCCTCGAATCTCTAATCAAAGTTGTGTGCACAAGAACCTTTTGTAATTGAACATCATCTTCGAGAGGCGGGGGCAGAGGAGGTGGAATGACGTTCTTAACGCCAACATCACTCCTGCTGCTTAGAGACGGAGATGGACTGCTTTTAGTACCTATAGATGTATTGGGAGGTTTGATGAGCCGAGTAACTTCTCGAGTTACTTCAAGGATCAGTACTGGGCCCGATGCTTTGAGTACTTCTACGGCATCGTAATGACTGACGGATACAACGTTGACTCCGTTGACAGTTACGACTTTATCGCCTACTCTGAGACCTGCTAGGTCCGCAGGACCGCTTTCTGTCACTCTGGATATAAAAATGCCTTCATCGTCGCCTTTGAAAGGAGTCGAACCTCGACCGCCGGCTATGGAGAGACCTAGACCTGTTTGGGAACGTTCAATGTGGATTTCGTATTTTTCTTCGCGGAGTTCTACAGCAGCGTCTGAGTCGCCAGCTGAAAAAAATAAATGTAAATTAGTTATCATAATGGCTACGTTGATCAAAAGAGAAAGGACGTAATAAAATGATGTTTATAATATTTGTTTAATCTGGTGGAGATGAACTCACTGACAGTTATTGCCGATTATTGTGTGTAAAACACTAATTTATTTGATAAATTGTTGCCAAAGAAAATACTAATTAGCAGAAACGGCTGAGTTCGGTTTAGCATAGTACAATTTATGATATTTTAAAATTCCAGGATTATAAATTATAGTACATTATCCATTATGTAACGAAGCTGTAATGGTAGCTACTAATACACGACCACGAGTTTGGATATGCCGTTTAATATAAAATTAATGAACCTATCTAATATGTAGGAATAGTGGGTGATAGTTGTAATAGCGGGCAAGATACTAATTATTGTAATAAACACCAAAATGACACAAGCAAATTAACTCTACTACTAATAACCGTCACGGATGATGCGGCTTATTAACAAAAAGCTACTCTTATTAAGAGGAGTATTTACTTGGCTGTAGCGCGGAGCATGCAAGGGTTTCGTAGTACCCCACTTTTAAAGTGTATGGAATTAAAAAAATAACAAATTCTATGATAGAGTTGACATGTCCATATGGAGCTAGAGTGCTGACTGTAGAAGAAGAAATATGCAGTAGAGAAATAACTTTTTGGAAAAAGGACAATACCATTAAGGAGAATCACTATTGGTAATTTCAAATTCAAGGCTAGCTGCACGTAACACAAATGGATTTTTGCATTTTGTGCTTTTGGACTTCTGCAGGAATAAAAGTGGAGAAAATTCCTTTTGGGAAGAAAAGATACGAAATAAAATTTAAAATTTTTATATGCAATATGCCTTGTCGGAACTTGTGACAGCGGAGCTAATAGGGACATGGAAAAGTACGAGATAGAACTAAATAATTAGTGAGAAATTTTGTTTAATTTTTATTAACATAACGCAAGGAATCTTAAATTATTTTGAATATGTTTATTAATTTAAGAATTACATTTTATTTATTTCTATTAATTAATGTCTTATTAATATGATACGCTTTTTTAAATTTAGGATTTTACCAGTGTCAAAGGCAATTGATGATATTATTATTATTATTATTATTATTATACCTAATGTTTTAAAAGGCTACACCAACTAGTGGACCACGTTTTCAAGTCCCCAAATAATAATTTCAAGAATTTGATTTGGATTATAAGTTTTACTATACATGGTTTTGTGCCAAAACCAAGTCATGTATTGATATTGTAAAACGCAGATGAGTAACTATCACATCAATAGAAATTGAAAATTTACATATGAATCTTTAAAACGTAATTATTTATAACTTTAATAACTTCATTTCAATTTAGAAATTTTCGAAAAGTTCACTATATTTTTTAGTTGTTGCAACTTTATTGCGCTTAAGTAGCGTTCAAATTAAAATATGAATTGATTTAAAGAGCTTAACTGAGAAACGGGAACTAATGCTTTCATTCCAAAAAAAGTATTATGGTCAATAAAAGGAATTTCAATATTATATATTAATATTATCATTAAACAAAAGTTATCTTTACAAATTGATACAAATAAATATATCTCTGTTAAAGAATGGTCATAATTTATTTAATATATTCATTTAAACATGTTTTTGTTTTTGTCTGGATGATATTGAATATTAACTTTTTCTATATAACTTCTTATACCCAACATTGTGAGATAAAAAAACAGACTATTAATTAAGAGCATACTTTTTCGGGTGTAGGAGTTTCAATGCTATAATGTTTCCCAAATTATAAAAATACTAAAAAATTTAAAAAACCAATTATAGAATGTGTTAATATCTACAGAAGAACTTGCTTGACAACATTGTGTTTCTTTTTTGGAAACAAAGAACAGTCAAAAATTGTAAAAATAACAACATATTTTTATTTCAAAAAAATAATAGGTCAGTTTTTTGTTATTTATATAAATCATATCATTTTCAAGACAATAAATCAGAAGAAAAGTCACCGAAAACCGATTTCAAAAAGGTCTATTAGTTTTTTTTTAGGAAATGGAAAGAGAAAAAACGTTTTTTAATCGAGTTACAAATCTTGACTAACTTCGCTGTTTCTCTTCAACGATATCCGATCTCCCTCTTGTTTAAAATCAATAACTATAAACGGATTAAGGTATTTTATACCGTGTTAAAAAATTTAAGAAAGATTTTGAAAAAATATAATTCTTTTTTTTTATAAAAAAAAGTAAACTTTATAATAAACATATACAATATTCTAAAAGATAAATCACATTTTTGTGATTATACAAAAAGTTTATTTATTTTTCCAATATAATATGGATTGCCCTCTAAAATATATATAATGGCTCGCAAACAGTTTGCTTTTTATATGGAAAACTTTTTCTTGTTACTTTTTCAGAAAATGTCATTCCTGATAAAACTTGATATTTAATTAAACCTAAAACTTTATTTATTTAAAAAATTATGTACCATAAATATAAATTTGGCTGCGCAGTGAACTAGGTACTCTTCTAGAAACCAAACCCACATTTTTACATATAAAATTAATTTAAAAAATGTATATAATCCCATATAGTAGTTTTTAGTTAATACAATTAATATAGTTTATTATATCCTCTTTTAACCGACTTCAAAAAAGAAGAAGGTTCTCAATTCGTCGTAATATATTTTTTTTATATATATTTATTCAGCGATAATTTTTTAACACGGTGTCCGATTTCAAGGATTCTTTTTTTGCTGGAAAGGGGATACTTCAGGGGTGGTCCCTTATTTGGTCAAAATCTAATAATTGGGTCCATGAGAAAATCCTCAAACTCTTAATTTTTCATGTATGTTTAGCGATAATTCTTTACCACCTTGTCCGATTTCTATGATTCTTTTTTTTTTGTTAGTAAGGAGATACCTCAGGGGTGGTCCCATATAAATTTGGTTAAGATGTGGTGATAGCATCTGCACGATTTTGAAGTCGGTTTTTTAAAATTACTTTTAATACTTGTTACGTAGAATAAAAAAGCTTAATAATTTGGTGCTTTCTTGATGCGTCGTTTTATGATTTCACTTTGTATATGTTTAGGTACAGATAATTACTATTATTACTGGCAGCTTATTTTAAATCATTTAAATAATATTTTATTAATCCAAAAAAGGCAAACAAAAAAGCCATGTCACATACAGTGTAATAATAAAAATTGATATTAACTTTTCTTCTTGAAATCACCCAAACATTCACACCTTTGAGTATCGGCACTCAATTAATAAATACCCTGAATTAATTGATATTACCTTATTCGAAACAATCGTCTATTTTTTCTTTATTTGTACATTAGTTTTAATTTGCCCATCTTTCACAACTCTATGCTTCTAAATGTAATTTAATCTAACTAAAGCTATTCACTAAATTAAAATATAAAAATAATGTAAAACCGTCTAATAAATCGAACTGCGTTATAACAATATCTCACAATGCAGCAAGAAAAACAAATACGATTCTGGTTTCCCTAATTTAGGTAAACGTTAGCTTTGTTCGACTTACCAATTTTATAACATTTCAGAACGATTTAGAATTGCGTGAAATTAGTTGCGCACTAAATTACACACGAAAGAGTCAATCCTAGAGTGTCCTAGGACTAGATTTGGAGAAACCCGAACACGTAAATTTAAATGCGCATGATTATAACGATTTTAAACCGTTCTCAAAAGTAAGCCGAACAAAGCTTCTGACTCACTCAATAACTGATGAACGTCGGCAGCTGTGATAGTATTTTTCGGTTCCTTTGTCTCAACTTCACGCGTTTGAGTTTAGAAATATGTATCCCTCGTATCTACATGCAATTGTTAAAATTATGAATGAATGCTGATTTTGTTTAGTCTCGGAAGTAAGTTTGTAGTATTTAGGCTCCACCCTCAAGTTGTAATTTTTATACCTACTAAACTACCGTTGCCCCGCAGGTCTTTCAGTTTGTAATGTAAATTTTCCTCTTAATTTAAATTTTTAACTCTTATCACATCATTAATTTCCTATAATCGTAAATATTTATCGATGATATAAAAGTTTAGGACATAAAAGATTTGAATGATATTTAAAAACACCTTGCATACCCAGATATCTGTTTATGTTTATCCACGCTTCAATGCAATTAAAAGCTGATAAACGTTATGTTGTTATTGTGTTCTTTATTCCATTTCGATTCATTCTATCGTGGCATCTTTTTATGTCACAAATTGAATTTTACCACAGTCGATGCCATTTCATTGTCACGTAGTAGATATTTAATTTCAATCAGTTGAATAGGAAATTCATGATTGATTGAACTTGTTATATGTATTATGAGCAAAGTTTTTGATTGTTGAATAGGTCTATTTATAAAAACATTTTTATAGCGGTATAGAATGACCCCAACATCCTGGAACCATCCTACAAAAATAAAGATAATTTGTAAAATAATTATTGTCGATTTTTTCTGTACGAGAAATTTGAATGAATATGTATAGGCAATAACAAATTTAGCAGGAACAGGTATGCCCTTTTCTTGATGATAATAAACATTATTCTAGTTGAGATGAAAAACAGGCATTTTTTATCATTTACCAAGCAGATCTAATTTGAAATATGAAACACATGTAAAAAAATATTGGGAAAATTTATACCATAACTACGTTTTTATCTCATACCTTTTTTAAATGTTAATTCATTATCTTTTAGAAATTACCTCTCACGATGACAGGTTGCCTGTCGAAAACGCTTAGCTATGAATTTTTATCAATAATTTTATACTTTCATTACTGATTGTACACATTTGTCCTTGTACACGGTAGATATTTAAATATTTTGTGTGTGTAGAAATAAAATACCATTCAGTAACGAATTTGATATAAAGCATTCAGGAAAATTCTGAATAACATTAATACTACCACATGATTAATGCCAAGAAGTCTGATTAAACCATATGGTTCATTAATAAAAATTGCTATTGTCTAA